CCTGCTGCTCACCTGGCTATGCAGACCACTATCAGTAACATTTATCAATTGCAAAACACGAGCTGAAAGTTCTGCATCAAGCACCTCTTGCGACTCGGAACTATATAGAGAGATGGAAACCAGTAAAAAGAATGCTAAAATAGATAGCCGTAGTACAAGAGAAAAAGAATAGGAGAGGAAGGGCTAGTAAAGGTGGTGTATTTACCTACAACCTGTACATTGTTTTATCTTAAGAATTGCAGCAACAATATGAACAATCCAAGCAAGTTTAGCCTCAATAACAGAGATGCCGCTATTGTCAGTGGTCTGCAGTCGAGCTCTTTCCTATTTTAGACAACAGAAATCATTAATCATCAAATGAAAGCAAAAGAGATGCTAATGCAATTGCATTTTCTAAGAAACACCACATATGAGCATACCGTATATGTTTGCAGGATTGGCTCCATTATGTTTATGATATACAAACTAGTGCTTTCATACTGCAATAGGAAAAACAAGTAGCCATAACATGAATAAAAGCTAGACAATAAAGAGAACGTTATGCTTTAGGGCGATAGGTCTTGTATAACTGATGAAGTGTTCAAGGAGACAACATCTAGAATATCTTCAAGATTCAAAAGTAAAAAAAGAATATGTCAGATGAATGGACTGAACCTGGAATCTACAGAGGTAAGGAAAGCAATCTAATTGATCCTGAAGAAGTTCAACGTTATCTAAAGGGTTCTCTGAAAGATCATCTGGTAATCCAGCCTGACAATACAAAGAGAAACAATGAGAAAGAGAGAAAATTGTACTAAAACTTTGAAGTAAATTGCAGAACGCAAGACTGAGGAGCAATTGATGCAGTACCTGCACAGAGTTAAATCTGGATGTTATGAAACCTTCAGTAATCTTAGGCACAAATTCATCCAATAAGCTGGGCGCATCACCTTTTAAATATGGTACAGACGTCACTAATCTGGACCATAACCCAAGAAGATAATATACACTGCTGCTGGCCCACTAGCAGAATACAAGTTGAAGCAGCTTTCCATTAGGGCACAGATAATTGGATATAGACATAACAAAAGACGCATAAAAAGATGAAAAAGAAAGAACAGTTTCATTCATCAGATAAAATCTCATTTTAAGCTTAATCTGAAACATTCATTGGGTAAAACTTCTCTGTGTTTTTTTTCCCCCTCCTTTTCATTTAGCTGGACTTATATTTGGGTAATACATAAGACTGATAAAACCAACCTGCCACGATTGCAAGGACTTTAAAGTGAATTCTGCAACTAAACGGATCCAATCACTATAGCCTTCCACATTCACAAGCTCTGACAACTGCAACAAATTTAAAACTGAATAAGAAAAAGTAACAAGATTCATAATCAATACCAGGCTGGAGAAATTGCACTCTGGGAAGTTGCATGAATAAAAGGCCAAAAAGCAAAAGCCACATGGAACAAAAATAATATCTACCTCTATACGTCTGACCACAAAATAGCAATAAGTCAGCAAAAAGTCTTGGAGTAACAACATATACATTAACCAAATAACAAATTACAAACATCACCTGATCAAATAGAATGGTATCGAATGTAAAATACTCCACAAAAAGTTTCATAAAGTATTGAGGAAAAAAAAAAATTGCAGCTAGCGAGCATTTTGTACAGTCATTGAGTCATAGGTACACAGCGCACTCAAACTACTATGAACAATGTACCAATTGACAATGTTTAATCCATGTTTAATTAATGAAGTTTTGTCTCTTATCAAATATACACACAAACATACCAATAGAATAGCCAGAAAGTAGAACCACATATTAAACATCTAAAAGTCGTACCTGATAATTCACTCTGAATCGCCCCAGAAGCCGGCAATACTCATGGTAATTATCATGATCAGCAAGACCTGATTCCAAGTGAAAACTAACAAGTGTAAACAAAAAGCAGAACCTTAAAAAACAGAGAAAAGGAAAAGAAATAATGGCCAACTTTTCGAGTGTCTGGTTGGAGAGAAACCGGAGAATTTTTTAGGGTACCTAGGACAATGACGTTGTCATATGGAATAGGGTAAAATACCGAGTAGCCCTTTGGGCTTTTGGAGAGGAGAATTTTAGAGTCCTGTCGTTTACTGACCTTGTTAGGGATTGGGATAATTTTTGGTAGTTACTTTGTAGCTTGGTTAGTTTATTGATTTTTTGGAAGATAGCTCATTCTCCCTAATATTGTACACATTGTTCCACTATTAATGAGAGTTCTATTGTCTCTTTTTCCCAAAAAATAAAAATCAAAAAATCAAAATAAAAATTCACCACGGTACATGTTCATGATTAAAATTTAAAAAAATAATAAAAAAAATAATGAAAAAGAGGATCAAAAATAAATTCAGCTTTAAAAAATTAAAAAAAAATTAAGGAAAAATCTTCTATATCTATTGAAAAAGTAAAAGCATAAATGCAAATCTCTTCGTAGGTTTTTTATCAAATTTGTTAAAACCTCCTCAATAAATGCCTCGGTCAAATTATAACAGGCTCTTACAAAATACATTTACCACTTTCCTATTTTCACTTTAAATAAATAAATAAAAACATTGCAGGTCACCCTGCGGCTAAATCTATATCCCTGTCTGGAGTTAACAGAGTAAATACATGCCAAAATAATGACGGCTCTTTCTTATTTTGGGGTAAAAAACGTACAAAAACAAATTGAGCTATATATTTTGAAAGAAAGATGCGAGTAAAGTTCAGACCAGTCTACTCTATCATGGAAAAAAACATGTTCACATCAGTCACACCATGACGCAAAAATGGAGAAAAGGAAGAGGCAAAACAAATCGGTACGTCTGATGCAGATAAAAGCCACAAAAAACACAAACAAATATGAAGTATGTATAAATGCACTTGTCATATACTAAACATCGCAGAGAGAATAGAACACTATATCTTGTCGACACCTCCTCAAAATTGTGGAGCATAATATAATAGGCAAAAAAAAAGGGGGAAGAAGAAGAAAAAGCATGTCATGTCTCCTCAACATCATAGTAGCATTAGCAAAATAAAGAAAAAGACAAGTCAACAACACCTTGTCCTGTTTGTAGGATTTCTTTGGTTCCAGTCATTAAATGAGCCAAAAACTTAGAGCGGGCAGCATCATTTGTAAACAAAGAACGTCTTACAGAAGCTAGTCGCACCAAGCACTCCAGTGCCTAGAAACAACAATAGTGAAAACCCTAATAAAAGAAGCTTTAAGAAGCAAACACAGGAGAAATACAATAAAATTTCAAATTATGGAATAAGAAACTTTGTTTTAACAGTTCTGAAAGTGTACGGCAGTTTAAAAAACAGTTATCTGCTTATATAAATGCATTTAAATTGTAACTAGACTTATCAAGAATGAAAATAATCTAACTCACTAAAGGACAAACTGTGTACTTTCCAACCAGGATAAGATCACTTGTACCGTTAGAACAAGGCAATAAAAAAATTCCATACTAATGACAAAAAATCTGGCTTCTTTTTTTTTTCTCAAAACCAGCAACATTCCCTTATACAATCTTTGAACAGAACAAATCAAATAAAAGCGTTTAATCAGAGTACTTTTGTATTTTTGTTTAGAAGAAAGAGGGTTGAGGAGGCAGAATTTTTGAATTTCCATATGTGAACCCAAAAGGTAGGGAAAATATTGACTTATATTTGGTCTTCTATTCTGAAATGTTATTAATCTTTATTGCCAATGGAAATCGTTTTCTAATTTTTTGAATAAATTCCAATTTTAAATATCTGAAAAATATTGAAATACTTCCAACAAACAACATTACGCAAAGGGAAAAAAATGAGTGAATTATATGGCCCTCAATTGACCCAAAATTATGAAATCTCTTCTAATAAGCAGTAAAGTTGCTCAAGAAAAATGGTAAAATACAGCTACAATAAGCAGTGAAATAGAGACAAAAATAAGAAACAAGTTCAACCAAGAAAAAAAGGGCAAAATACAAGTACTATAAACAATGCAACAAAGATAATGTTTAAGCGACACACACACAAAATAAAATAAAATAAAGAACGGCAGATCTTGAACTATTAGACTAATAAATCTGTAAGAGAAGAAAATAAGAAACAATTGAAGAAAACTATCGGGAAAGGAAAGATTTTGCGGGTTGTTAAATTTAATTTGATAACTACATTTTCATTCGTGCAAAAATCATTGAATTTCTCCCCCCGTCATTATGCTAGTGAACAAAAAGGAAAACGTACATCTGAATAGCCACAAGATGCTTTCTTTGATAGAACAATCATCTACCAAAGCTTCTTGTTAACTTCTAAATTTATTTGAATTGACCTTCCCAATATGGATCCAACAATCTACCAAAGCTTCCCAATATGCAGTCAGATATTACAGAGACCATTTATCAGGATAATCAAAATAAACCTATGGCTAAAGACATGTTCTCCAAGAATTGCAACATTGAACTGGAGCCTACCTAGCTGAGTGCAGAACCCTAGACTCTAAACTTGGTGATATGCTCCAAATTATCGGGTCAAAGGATTTCAAAAAGAATTGCTACAGATCGACTAACATAAGGATATCATATATCCAGTTGCTAAAGTTGGAATCAGCTAGCCAAGTAAACATATGTGATGGTTTGAGTCCACGCCCACCATAAATAGAATGCCCCCTCATTCTCAATTTTACATAGGGATTACTACCAGAAAACATAGTTGTACCAATAATTCAAAAATATATTTCAGACTCCAAACACAAAGTGGTACAAGTTGGCTTCAAGTCTCAGTTGGAAGACTTGAAAAAGTTGTTAAAATGATACCCATGAAAATATGTCCCTCCGATAGCAAAGCAGGATTCAGAAGACAAATACTTGTTGCAACATGCATAACATGATAGTAATATGAATTGTTGAAGTGAAGTACAGAAAAATTCTAAATGAGAATGTCTCGGAAGGCAAAAAGGTAAATACTTGGAAACAACAAAAGAATGCATACTACCTCCTTTGAAAGAGGGGCCTTCGTAATGGCATAGTAATCAAAAAATATTTGCAGGGTTGAAGGATCTTCCAAAACCGGCCTCCAGGAAGATGGTATCTATAAGATAATAAACTACATGATTATTTTATACTCGGTCTAACTGATAGTTCGCTAAACAGATAATTACTGTAACCAAAAGTGGTAAATACCTGAACAGTGCCAAACTCTTCGGAACTTTCATCAATTGAGGTGCCGACAAAATCAAAGGATAAGCATTTAAGTGAAAGAGAAAGAGCCAACTCTTGCAATCGATCCACAACTGCAAATGACATATTTGAGTGCACGTTCCTCTTAGGAGATGGAGTCAACAAAGATTACATATATATCCATACATATGAGTGTATGTGTGTAGAAATACACGTTCATGTATATTTGTGTGTGTGCACCACACACACGCATGTGTGTTTAAAAAATAGTGCAGTACCATCATTCTTCAGCTGACGCAATGAAGTTAAAGATATTTGGAAGATTTGGAAAAGTGATTGATCCCTAAAGTTGCAGGCAACCCTTCGATGATGTGTTGAAGACAAACCAGAATTAGGCTGAGAATTGAGCCAGAAACATGGAAGCCAAGTTAGAGCGCAATGATGCAAACACATCAATGTTATCTTAAAGCAGGTGAAAGAAAACACACAACAAAAGCATAGCTAAACCTTACTGACGTTAACGAGTTATACTGAATGATATTTGAACCATTTAAGTTGTCTTAGTTGAAATGAAGCTGATAGTATTAGTTAATATGACAATTGGTGACAGGAGAAAAATAAATAATAAGTTACCTTCTCAGCAAATTCACAAAATTAAATGTAGAACTTGGTGCGTTGATTGAGAGAGAGAGAGAGAGAGAGAGAGAGAGAGAGAGAGAGATTTTAAGTTGTCTTAGTTGAAATGAAGCTGATAGTATTAGTTAATATGACAATTGGTGACAGGAGAAAAATAAATAATAAGTTACCTTCTCAGCAAATTCACAAAATTAAATGTAGAACTTGAGAGAGAGAGAGAGAGAGAGAGAGAGAGAGAGAGAGAGAGAGATGGAGGGAGGGAGGGGGAGAGAGAGAAATCAAGAAACTGACAGCCAGTGAAAGAATATTATGTCTCACTCCCATCCAGAGATAATATCATTTCAATTATTTTCTTCACAAATAATCCATAATCCAAGTCATATTGGGCTCTGTAGAAACCTATAATTTTCTTTTTAATAATAAGGATGTAATTTTTTAAACTCAATCAAGAAAAGATTAAGATAAAACCTACGAATCAATTTGCATGATTAGACCACGATCAAAGGTGCAATATCAAGGAAATTCTGATGTGATGCCTAAAACCATCTTCATCTTCTTTGGTTATTTACATACATAATCATATATCTTCAAGTCAAGTTGAACAATAAAAGTAAATATGAATCTGGAGGCTCCGTTTGAAATAATTCCTTATGGGTGTCAATGGGGAAGAACAAGATATATCTTTAACATTTGCTATAATCCTGCAAACCCTATAATCTTTCTTCTTGATCTTTTTTGGTTGCCGTAATAAACGAAAATATATTATTAGAAAGAAATAAATAATATAAAACAAAAGAGAGAGAAAAGGAATCAACCAACAACAGGCAAAGAGAAATACATAGAAACAGAGCCTACAAAGAGTTATTCCATCCCGAAAAAGATTCAAGAAAAGGAAAAAATTCTTCGACTCTTTAAAGTATACAATCACAAAGGAATCAAAATTTTAATTCTATCCAAAACCACTAAAACATCATCAAAATAATACACGGAAATCCTCTAATTTGGGGAGAAAAGTAACCTTAAATCCCTATAAACTCCACACTTTATCTCTTCAATGTCAAACATCTTTTTATCAAAAATGATACTCCAAAGTTGATAAGAGAAAATAAAATCAGAATTAAAAAAAAAGGGGGAGGGGGGCTGGCTGTGGTATAAATAAATATAATTTAACAAAAAAAAAAAATTCAAACAAAAACAAAAAAACACACAAAAGACAGAACTTGATTAATTCATAGAGAACCGTGAATTACAAAGCAAGGAGGACAAGATGTCAACCTGATAAAAAGGAAGAAAAACAGAGATAAAACAAGGTAAAACTGAGAATAAAAAGTAACAAAAGGAACAGACTGTCAAAAATGCCCCTTCCTAACCAAAACTGAAAACTGAAAGTTACTTTAAAAAATTATCCCTCATGCAACCATATTGCAAACCAAACTTGACTTCTTCCCACAGCTCACTAGCATTGCCTTCTACATCTTCAAAAATCCTCTTATTCCTTTCTAACCAAATTGCCTAGCACATATAAAACTTATTTTTTGCGACATGATCCTTTCAAGAATTCTAGAACAAGTACTTAAGAGATTTCGAAATATTATTGTGCGTCTACACAGTAATGATGACAAAAAATTACCTGATTCATTTCAGATACAAGCTGATTCAATATCTTCAAACCAATGGCATAGTGCTCTGATGTTGCCTGGTAAAACAAAATGTTTGCATGTTATCATTCTGCAAGATACTACAGTCCAAAACTGATAAAAATAGCAGGCACATAGTTTAGTTGAAGCACTCAAAATTACAGTAACCAACGAGAAACAATGCAAGTCTCATTAAACTTTACAAAGAATCACAATAACAGTCGTAAGTACTCATAGGGAGCACATGAAATTTAGGATAACAAATTAGACTGGCATTTTAAGTTAAATGTTGCAGGGAAACTTAATGAGCAGTGAGAAGTGCTTGTTCTCCTTCGTCATGCCCTCTCGAACTACTTAGAATCTTTCTGTTTCTCATATTAGTATAACACATGATAGTATCATAGTATATCCACAGACGCATTGTTGGGAACGGTCTCTCAAACTTCATGTGGGAATAGCTACACATGAGTTCATAAAACATGACCGTGACTAGGAAGCATTAAAAAACACGAATGTTCTAAAACAAAAGAACTTATCATCTTGCATAACAGAGTGATTAAGTAACCCTGTCTTTAAATCACCAACAAATTTAGCATCATATTAGCAATGCATGCATGCTAAGCACAATAGCAAAGTAACTAAACATCAAAATCAAATAACTATAGCATTCATAAAGTAAAAAACACAAATGACGAATAAATAATGACAAACTCTAAAAATAACAACAAAATATTACATCCTCGACCACAAGCAAGCCATATAAGCTAATCATATCACCTGGCTCAAGAAGTTGGTTGATTCTTTCACCACATCCCGAAACCGGTCATCATCAAACCACCCAAACTTTGTAACTCGACATAAGAGTTGGATTAAAGACGCAGTAACAAAAGGCTGCAACTTAGGTCCTCTGGTGAACAAATAGTTGATAAGGTAACTTCCTACATTTCAAGTCCAACAATCCTAACATTAAGGAAACCAAGGTACATACAGAAAATCTCATACAACAATAACCAAATTATAATGTGTATGTATATATATATCGAAGATTACTAATATCGAGACGGAGCTGCAAAGCAAGGCTATGCTCAGTGACTTGCTTCAACAAACTCGAACTCGCCAACATCAACGCGTACGGCGTGAGCGCATTGTCGAGAATGTATTGGCACTGCGAAATGTAATCAGTGTTCACCGAAAAGCATTTCAAAGTGTTCTCCGCGTGAGCTCTCTCGACGGAGTCCTGAGAATTGTACAGCCTCTCGCACAGCGCCTCCAATTGTGCCAAGCTCTCCATGATCGCAAAAACAAAAAAACCTGCCATTATTGCATTTCACAAAAATCTAATCACCAATCACGACGCCATATCGCACACCACCAGATAACATCGTTGACTGAGTTCGTACATTTTCCATAATTTTCGATTCAAGAAACAATCCGGTTTTCTAAGCAAACAAACACAGCATAGAAATTGCCTAAATTAGTATTCCTAAATCCACAAATTGGTGAAAAAAACATACGAATTGGCGCTACTGAGGATGAAATCCACAACGGAAGCCAGATTTTCCGAGAAAAATCGTTGGTGCAGAAGAGAAAATGCAATCACCGACATTCGAGATTCATTTTGACAAGAAAATCACAATAAGAGGAAATTTTATTGAGAAAGATCGACTGTGGTTTGTGGAATGTGCAAAAAGAGAGACAAGAAGATTCTATATATATATATATATATATATATATGTATGTATGTATATGTGTATATATATACCTGAGGTGGATCTGAGATGGATCAAAAAGCGTTTTTTGCGATGAATTTGATTGTTTTCAACGAAATTTCTTGTTTGTCTAAACTTGATTCAAATAGGAATGAGATGAGATGATCGTCTTTGGGAAGAGACTGCGGAGGAATCCGTCTTTGGGCTTTCTTGCAGGGCTGGCGTGTTGGCGTTGGCCATTCGGCTTAGGCTTCTTGGGGCAGTCTGCAATTAGACTGGCCGAAAGTAAAATAAAATAATAAATAAAGTAAATTAATTTAGTCCTTACACTTTATATGGTTCGTCACTTAACTCCCTATAGTAAGAACTTTGTCATTTCACCACCCAAACTTTCCTTTTACATTTCACCACCCAAAAGTTATGGGGTAGCAATTTGGAATGTGTTCATATCAACTTAAATTTTCGTGTCGAATTCAAATTGACCCACATATCGCCCATTTAATCAAAATATTACTCAAATAAATACCTTTATGATTAATATAAACAATTTAAATTTTTAAATTATTTACTTAGTCCATTTATTTATATTTAACATTGCTACTATAGGGTATAAATCTTATATTTATCATATTCAAATTAAATCTAATAACAAAATTTTTGTTAAAAAATATTTTTTCCATATTTATATATATTTTAAATAAAAAATTTAATAAATCGAGTCAATTCAAATTAACTGCGTGTTTTCGTAATCGTGTTGTAACTCGCATTGCCATCCTCATAATTCTTTTGATAGAATACTCAAAAAATAGTCTAATAGGGCACTGTTTCAGCGATATGAAGAACACTAGCACGTTATTCTGATTTGCACGTGTAACAGTGTACTACATGCAAGCCACGATAAACACACTGTATTTTGTCTTAGCAAAAAATACAACATTGTACTTTGTAGTGAGTCAGAGGTATACCTCTACCAAATGGCTCATGGATGGTGTCGATTGTGTTATTTTGGTTATCTGGAAAAAAAAAAAAAAATTCCAATCAAATTACTTCATTATGAAAGATTCTTGAGAACTAAATATTTTGCACTTAATGTATTATTTTTAAGATTTTGATTACTATATAATATGAAGGCAATTGTCTATATTTAATTTCTAAAATTATTCTTTAATTTTAGTGTCGACTAAAATTGTCAGCAAAAAAAAAAAAAACAAAGTTCATTAATAATTGCCAAAAAAAAAAATCAGATACCAAAGTGATATAATGCCATTAATTTAGAGACTAAACAAAAGCTAACAACACTTTCTTGAATCATTAGTAATTTGTCTCCTGAAGTTTTATTAAAAATATAAAATATTTTATTGATTTTTTTATTTTAAGAAATTATCTTTGAATTTAATAAATTATTACAAAGTGCTATTAAATTGATCAACGATGTTAAAATTTAAAAAAGAAAATGTTGTTATGGACATAACATGACCTGCTATATCGTAGTTCAAAATTTGAGTTTTTGCATTCAAATGGGCTCTTGTGATATGTACGAGAACGTACTGGTCATTAATCTGGAGACATTTTACAATATTTTATTAGATTAATGGGTAAATTGCAAAAATTAAAACTTTTAAGGAATAATTTGTCAAATAATAAATATCCTTTAATTAAAATGATAACAGAGTGTCTTGGACACAGAATTCATGTTTGACAAAACAACATGGTTAGAATAAAGAAGTTGACGTCGCTGATGCAAACGTTTACGTCATTAGCGCAGAAATACTATATGTGGCATGTTACTGGACACATTCCTGCTCTAATGCATGTGAGTTTGAAAACTGTCGTTTTCAGAAGTCCAGAGCAATCCCAGAAACAAGCAAAGAAGATGAACGGAGACAAGCGATTTACTTGGTCCAGGTTAAAAAACCCTAATCCAAGGGCAGAAGAAAAATCCCCCAAGCCAAATCCACTATCAAGAAAGAATACAACTCAAGCCTCACACACTCTACAGAATTACAAGCTGTAAACCCAAGCTTTTTCTCAGAACTCACGTTCTCTCTTTTCTTTCTCACACCAAAGTTCAATCTTACAGAGAAAACCAAAAGAGTATACAAACTGTAGTCAAGACTTTAATTGATAATAGGACTCTTAATACACCACGTCTATTTATACTAAAAGATAAAGTCCTAATAAATCAGAGTTAGGCCTCTTAACCTCTAAAAGTTAAAACAAGACTCAGTCATTTGTAACAGAACAAGCTGCAGTCTTGTTTGTCACCAACCGACTTAGATATATATAAACGGCCAATTAGATAGAGTCATTAATTCTAACATAACTCCACCTTGACTCTGATCTGATAATGGATTTATCCTAGGGGACCTGCAATCACCAAGCTAATCAAGTTGGCAGCACATTTAGTAAGTTTAAGGCCTGCTCAAACTTACTAACTGGTATTGCCTTAGTCAACATATCCGCTGGATTTACCAAGGTAGAGATTTTATCTACTTTAATCCTTTCCTGTGCAATAATGTCTCTAACAAAGTGCAATCTTACATCTATGTGTTTCGTTCTCTCATGAAACACATGATTTTTAGACAAATGTATTGCACTTTGTGAGTCACAATACACAGTAGCTGTATGTTCCTTGATTCCTAGCTCCTTAGTGATTCCTTGCAACCAGATGGCTTCCTTGATTCCTTCAGTGAGGGCCATGTACTCAGCTTCTGTGGTTGACAGCGCCACAATGTGTTGCAAATTTGATTTCCAGCTAATGACATTTCCTCCCAAAGTGAAGACATAGCCGATGACCGATCTTCTTTTGTCAAGATCTGTTGCGTAATCAAAATCGTAGTAGCCTTCAATGACTGCTCCACCTTCTTTGTTACAGCTATAAACCAGTCAAATACTTGCAGTCCCTTTAAGGTATCTCAAGAGCCCTTTAACAGCATTCCAATGCTCTTTGGATGGTAGGCTCATGTAGCGACTGACCAAGCTGACACCAAAAGCTATGTCAGGTCTAGTGCCAATCATGGCATACATTAGACTGCATGTTACATTTGAGTAAGGGATTTGCTTCATATAGGCTGTGTCTTCTAGGGATAGTCTTCCTTTTACTGCACTTAGCTTAACGTGGACTGGAATGGGAATTGAGGCTGGTTTAACATCCTTCATCCCATGTAGTTCTAGAACTTTCTTAATGTATCCATTTTGTGATATTGAGAGAGTGCCCTTACTTCTATCCCTGTTTATATCCATTCCGAGTATTCTTCTGGCCTCCCCCAAGTCTTTCATCTCGAACTCAACCTTGAGAGATTCCTTGAGCCTTTTGATCTCAGTTTTATCTTTACAAGCAATCAACATGTCGTCTACATAGATGAGAAGGTAGATGAACACGTTTGCTTTAATTTCCTTGAAGTACACACAATGGTCAAAGTTTGACCTTTTATAGCCATTCTGTAGCATGAAAGCATCGAATCTATTGTACCATTGTCTTGGAGACTGCTTTAGTCCATACAAGGACTTCTTCAGGTAACATACCATGTCCTCTGTACCCTTCTTGATAAACCCTTGTGGCTGCTCCATAAAAATCTGTTCATCCAAGTTCCCGTGAAGGAAAGCTGTCTTGATATCAAGTTGTTGAAGTTCTAAGTCCTTCATTGCAACCAAAGCTAGCAGTAATCTTATGGAAGAGTGTTTAACCACTGGACTGAAAACTTCATGATAGTCTATTCCTTCAACTTGTGAGTATCCTTTTGTAACAACCTGTGCTTTGAATCTAGCCGGTTCCACTCCTGGTATTCCTGATTTTATCTGAAAATCCACCTACACCCCACGATCCTTTGGTTTGTTGGCTTTTTGACTAAAGTCCAGGTTTTGTTCTTGATGAGTGAGTCCATTTCTTCCCTCATAGCTTCAAGCCACTTTTCTTTGAGATTGATGTTGCAGGCTTCCTCAAAACTAGTGGGATCTTCAAGTTCTAACGTGTCTCCTATATTAAGAGCATAGGCAACCACGTCTGCATGAGCAAACCTTGGTGGGGGTTTTATTTCCCTTCTTGTTCTGTCTCTGGATAAGACATAATCATCAAGCTCTGAGGTCGGTACTTTGTTAGGTTCGGTTTCAGCAG